TGGAAAAGCTCAATTTAGGAGCCAAACAGGCACAGTGTTACACACCCAGCCTGGACTCACTGTGTTACGAGACGGCCAGAGAATCGATGCTGTCCGCTCACCACATGCGTTACAGCATCACTGCAAAGCCCTTGCCACCTGAGTGGGAAGCGTTACCAAGTCACTCGGAATAAAATTGCCACTAAATGCTGTTTGGGGGAGAAAAAAAGAAAAAAAAGCAAATCCTCGCTCTTTCTCAGGCATTGTAGGAAATGAAAACGGCTATTGCTGCCTGGTAGAGTCCAATTACGAATAATGTGCGTTCTCTCCCTGCACAAAGGATGAAAGGCATCAGAGCTGGTGGTGACATTTTAAGAGCGGAGATGTAAGAGCAAATCCAAGCCTCATTGCAAGCCCAGCTTTACCCCAATAAAGAAACACTTTCTGCAGTCAATTGCCTTGCAGTGTAGCTTGAAGCCCTGCTATTGATCTAGCATCTGTTATAAGCAGATCATCATTGTTGCTGTGCTGTGGCTTCTACGACAGGATCTAAAAGCACTTTCCAGAAGATGTCTGTGGGTTATTTTTCTGCTCGAACCCACGGTTGCAGGCAGGCAGAGGTTTGCAGGAGAGCCCGTGAAACTCTCACACGTTTGCAGAAATTTAAGGCCAGAAAAAAACCCAACAAATTATTCCAACTCATTCATTTCCCAACCCTCTAAACTTCAGCTAACCAAGGTGTACTCCCCACAAGGTTCTGCCTGGCCACTCCAGCCCAGCCCTGCAGTTTTCTTTCCCCAGTGAGGTGCTAACACACTGCCATCACGCCACGGCTCAATCCTTCCCTTCTGTAAAAAAAAAAAGCGAGAGATACTGATATCCCCCAGCACCAGACATTTTTCTCCTGTCCCCAAAAGGTTTCTCAAGAGTTTGGCTCACCGAGGTCTGAATCCCAACAGCTCCCAAGCTCCTGGCCACTTCCCAGCAGTGTGGGGAGGTTTTGGGCCAGGCACCTTCCTCCAAGTTTAGCAAGAAGTGGTCAGAGGTAGGTGAAATCAGGCTGCCAGCACCTGCAAACACCCCCCTCCCCGCCGGCGCAAGCACTTCTTATCCACTTGGCAGATTCCTCCAGTCTCCAAAGAAGGAGAAAAGAATGAGAAATTAAAAATAAATGAATCAAGAGATACACATCCATCAGGAGCCAGGCGTTGTCAGCCCAGGTCCCTGTGCAACTACTTCTTTAATCAAAACCTCATGCAGTTTAAACACTCGACAGAAGTCTAGGACAGAGATCTTGTTACCCTGAAGAGGAAAAACTGCACCCTTGAAGAATACAATGATGTTTGTCTGATGGGGTGTATTTTCTTTAAAATCATGCTAAATTATGCTAAGCTTGTTCCTAACCATGTCATGTGAGGTTTCGCCCTGCAGATTCCTGCCAGATGCATGGGTGTCTCTAGTGGGTCACAGGAGGTGACGGGAGGAGCAAGTTCTCGGGTGGCAGCTGAAAAGATGCCATTTCTAAATCGGTCCATGACACCAGCTGTAAATTTTTAAGAGGCTCAAATCAAGAAAAAGATTGCTGATGGATGTGCTCCCCACTTGAAACTCACTTGCGTGGTGACGGACGTCAGACTACCTGGCTCATGGCTATGCCACTTGCCTGTTTGCTCTTGGAAGTGTCAGAAACCTTCCAGCTTTCTAGAAACTGCCTGTGTGCCAAGGCTCAGTGAGCTCTTTAAAGCCTCCCGCATGCAGGTTATCTGCCTCTCCTGGCTTGAAAATGTTTGTCCCCGAGGAGCTGCTATTTAATGCCTTCCTTAGTTACCAAGGGATGGGAAGTTTCTCCCATCGTTCTGTGGCTTTTCAAACACAGATGGGATTTATTGAAGTTTCTGCTGCTCTGATCTCATTAACATTTTACGGCAGGGCTCCAGCGACGCACCTACTCCTCACCAGGTGCCCCTCAACAGCCCCACGGTGGCTCAGGTCTCCTGGTTGTGTTGAACATCCTTGGAGCAGTTTAAGTGACTTCATCCCCAAAATGGCTCCACTGCTGCCTTTTGGGACCTTGCCTGCACCCTGCCTCACACTGGCTCCCGGCAGCTCCTTTCATAACAGCCACAGCAGGTGGCAAAGCAGAGACAGCACAAGGAGGAGAGAGAGGGTAAAAAAAAAAAAAAAAAAAGGAAAAAACCAGAGAATAGTACAGGAACACATCCAAGCTTTGCCACAGACAACATAACCTGGGGGCCATCTGGGGACAGGCAGGATTTTAATTGGCATGGAGGGGGGGAAGCAGAAGAGGGGGGTATAAGCCCTGGGTTTGGCGGGGAAAGGCAGTGGGCGACCCCTAGGTGAAATTCATGGTAACCCCCAGCATATGCCCGCTGGGAGGAGAGTGGGAATTAAGAGTCCTGAGGCCTTTTCTGGAGAGCTTTTCAACCCTGCAGAGAAGAGGAGGGAGCATCAGCACAGCCTGGCTGGAGTCCTGCTAATTGCCCCACTTAGGCTCTGGTTCTCTGAATTGCTCTTAACTAAAGTACATAAATCGACCTGACCAGCATCAGGGTTTTCTCCAGGGCCACACTCCCCCCACAGCCTTCAGAGTTCATGCTTCAGCCCCAAACCCTGCAGGTTTTGTCTCAAAGAAACATGCCTGGTGCTTACCAGGGCAAATGGTAAGCACCAGGCTACGCTCGCTATGCTCAAGGCCTCAGGATGTGTCGCTCCACTGGCCGAGCACCGCACAGAGCCGGGGTTTCCCCACCACATATTTATTCAGAGGCGCTGCACAGCGAGGACAACCCGGCGCCAAACTTTGCAAGAGGCAGACCTGGCCAGAGTTCAGCAGAAACAGGGAATTAAGACACTGAACTAAATCAGTACATCCCCACCCAATTTCTACCCAAATCAGGAATTTCATGCATAGGAGGGGTTTTGACCAGGGTCCCACATTACTTATTAAGCACAGAGAGCAGTGAGTGCTTGGCACTGCACAGAAATCCAGACTTTGCACCAAAGCTCTTGCAAGCCCAAAGTAATTCAGATGCAGAGGCAATCTCAGCTGCCGGGAAGGAACTCAAATAGCAAAAGACAAAGGGAGCCTGTGCAGGAATGGAGAGAAAGAAAGAAGAGCTGCTGTCTGGGTGCAGGCAGGGGACACTGATCGCACGGAAAGGATGGGGAAGAGGTAAAGGAAGCAGGTCAGGGAAAATCCAGGGATGGCTGGGGCCACCCCTGCTAAAATGCACCGGGCAGCAGGGGCTTGCTCGGGGCTGCAGGTCCCACTGCCCTTCTGCAAGAGCCTTCTAGCAGTGCCTGCTGTGAGCTGTACACCGGGACGGGCACTGAAAATGCCAGGGAGATGCTGGGGGGCCTGGGCAGATCAAGCACAGGGACTGCAAGAACCACCCAGCCTGTTAGCCAGGGAAACATCTAGTGCCAGGCTCACCTCCCCAGAGCTTTCCACCAACACACCAGCTCAGGTTGCTCACTGCAAACCCATGCAGAGATGCCTTCTGCTCCCAGGCACAGGCCCTGCACATCTTGCTTGCAGTGCCACCTGCCGCCAACGGCAATGCTCTTCAGACACTGGAAGGGGACAACAGCAACGCAGAGCAATGAACTTCCTGCTGTTACATCAGCTTTCCCTGTCCTTTAACAGCAGCCAAACTCTTGATCCAAAAAGCAATGCTATTTCCCAAGCTGCAGGCGTCCCACGAGTCGCAGGCGTAGCAGCAGACGCTAATAAAGTACTTTTTTCTTTCCCTTTTATGCAGTTTCTCACTGGAGCCGGTCTCTCCCCCCAGAGACCACATCCTGAATCTTCTCGTTCATTGACTCTTTATGCTAAATGATGACTCCGCAGTCGAAATAATGTGGCATATTCTAGTTCGCATTTCAGACACCGTGAGACTTTTTAATAACGAGTTGCATGAAAAATTAGGGAGGCTGCAACAAAGAGCTCCGACGGAGGTTTCCGAAGTGACTCACAGGCAGGAGAACCTCGCTTTTCCAAAGCCCAGCATGAGACAATCTCAAAAGCCCCCACGCTCAGAGAGCTGAGTCCTCCCCCTCTGGAAAAATAAAGCCTTTTTAAGGAGACATCCCCAGGGTGAGAATCCCTGCGGGGAGGTTTGGAGGGTGGTCTTGGCGGTCTTGGCTGAGATGACATCCTGCTCCCAGGAGCGCTCATGCAGGAGGTTTCACTCCAGACCTCAGCTGCACCGCCGAGGGTGCTGCAGGGTGGGAGTCACCTCATGCTGCAGCTGGCCTGGGCTCCTCGCTTGACACATTGGCTATGCAATGCTCCAAAATGGGGCCTGGTGATGATTCTTGCTGCTTTTGCAAGGAGGTGGCAAACCTCAGTGGTAAAAGGCAGCGGAGACTCTTCCAGTCTCAGCTCCGGAAGCGCTGTAGCACCCACAGAGACAGCGAGCATCACCCGTGCACAGGTATCCCCACTCCTGCTTAGGGCTGGCTCGCTGCCAGCTCTGCAGCAATTTGCCAGACTTTGCAGCATGATGGAGGGGGAATTTCTTCAGGTTAACTTTTTTTCTGACTGTTTTTGCTTCACACCATCCATACAACCAGCTGCCAACATATTTCAAGGGGAAGCAGCGGGCAACTTATCAAGTCCAGCCCCCCGCTGGGGGCTAATGCTGTTTATGCTCAGTCCCAGTAGCGACCAGTGCCCAGCTGCTGGGGTTGGAGATGTGGCAGGAGGTGGCTGAAGGCCGGGTTTGATAGCTCTTCCCCCTCTCCCAAGCTCAGCTCCTAATTCCTTCTGTGTCCTGCCTCCACCTGCTCTGTGACACCCATCACAGCCACCCCTGGCCCCAGGAGCTCTCCCTTCTCGCCCACCTCTAACGCCTAATAACTGAGCACTTCACCCCACCCAGTCCAGCAAACTTCCCCAAAGGAGGGTTTTCCTCCAGCATGGCCCAAAGGAGATCCCCACATAGCTGGCAAAGGAAAGCTAAAAATAACAAGGCAGCCGGCATGCAGGCAGCTCTTACCACGTTCCAGAAGAGCGGGTTGAAGGCAATGGAGAGGACAGCTGCAATGAAACCAGCGTCGGTCACATCCACATAGCCGAAGAGCCGCACCATGGCTGTCACATCCACCTGGGAGGGGAGAGCCAGTTACTGGGGGTGCGGATTCCTGCAGGGGCACCAGGCGCTGCACCTCAATACAAGGCACTTCATCTCAAACCAAACACACCAGCTGCCCCTCCAAGAGCAAATGAAGATATTAATGGCCCCGAGTGACGCGTTGTTACGGCTCGCAAAGTGCTATGTCAGAGCGCAAAGTCAAGAAGAAGGATGGGGGCTCCTCCAAGCTGTCTCCCCCCACACCTCAAGGGCACGGGGCTCTCAGGGAACCCCTCATTTGCAGCAGTGTCCAGAAGGACACGGGCACTGTGAGGACACTGCTGCTGTGAGGAAGAGCACCAGCATAACGGGGCAGCTGCCAACCCAAGCATGTTTCCAAGCCAGAGGACAGGGAGGACCGTTTCACAGCGCCTCGGCGTCCTTGGGGACAGAGTACTGTCCCAGGAGTACTGCTCTGTGTGGAAACTCCAAGCAGTGAACCGTGTCAGCCTCAAACTTGTCTCCTATAAAGTAAGACTGATGCAAACCCCCTCCACAGTGAGGGGAGATGCATTTGCATTGCAAGAGGCTGAAAAAGACTTTCCTGTCTTACTTAATGACAACAACAAAAAACCTTTAAAACTCAGTTTTCCTCCCTTTCTCCTTCTAAGAAAGTGATATTTTTCCCAGGAAGGCTCCCTGACATTGTCAGCATTTTTACGTACAATAAGCCATGCTGCCTCTCCCTCCCCGTCCCCTCCCCTGCAGTGGTATTTGGATGAAAACCAGCCAGCGCCTTTTTTTTTTTTCCCCAAAAACTTCGAAAACAAAAGACTAAATAGCCCAGCCCAAGCCCTTCCCTCGCTTGAATCAAAATCAAGACAACATCGAGACGTGGAAGGTTTTTGCTTCCCAAACACAGCTGTGTTTGCAAGTCCTGCAGATGCCTGGGGACAGGAAAGGCTGCAAAACGCATCAGCTCCACCTCGCTTGCCCAGTAGAGAAATTCCCACTGGCTCCTCGTGGGTTCTTCGAAGGAACTGGACCCTCAGTGGGATGTGTGGAGAGGGGTTGCTAAACCTGCTGACTCTTGTAGCCAAGAGCAAAGGCCCTGGGAATGGCTCCTGTGTCCTGGGGCACGTCCAGCTGCTCCGGGTGCCTCCAGCACAGTCACGACCGGCCACAGTGCAAAGTGCACAAGCAAAGGCCATACTGGGGAAACGGGGGGACCCTCACAGGGGTCCACTGCTGCCTTCAAACAGCCCCAGCTCCCCCAGGCTCCTCCATCCAAGCTCTCGGGCCATGGGTGCTGGTGAGGAACAGCCCCCAGGGCCTGATCCTGACCCTATTCCCACCCTCCCTGCCCTCTCCTCCCCTCACCCCCAAGCAGCTCTTCACCGTTCAGACCTTGTCCCTTCAAACCGAGGACTGTCAAGCCGTAACCCGGGTACACAGACAGACGCTGGCGCTGGGGCCGCACTGTCTGGTCCTGCTTCAATTGCAAATCCGTGGGACCAGGACAGTTTCTTTCCTCTCATTTCATGCGGTGCTGAGCATACTGCCAGCACAGGCTGAACAAAAGGTTCTTGACCTACTAACTCCTGGCTGGCAACATCCTTAACATTGCACTCGCCTTCTTTTCGTTGCCTCAAGAACCAAATCCAGGGAGGTGGAGTGACCCGTGCCTAGTATGTGCTTTTAGGGATAGAAGGGGAGCCCGTGAGGATGAGCCATCTCTGCGAGCTGCTGGGACAGTCGGTGATAAATAACGGTGGCAAAGGCTGCCCGTTCACTGACAGCCTCAAAGCCAGGGAGGGCGAGAGCTGCATGGGCACCTAGGTGAGAGCTCCATGGACACCGGGAGCTGCACCGGCACCTGAGCGGGGGCTGACTGGGCACCCGAGTGGGGCTCCACGGGCACCCGAGCAGGAGCTGCACGGTCACCCGGGCGAGCCGGCAGCAGCACCCACGGGACTCCGTGCGGTGCCAGTGCGGCCTGTGCCACGTGGCTGTAGCGTGGCCTTGGTGAGAGCAGCCCGGGGACGGTGGCGGGTGTCCCCGGGGCACCGGGTGTCCCCGGGAGCTGCTGCACCCGCAGACACAGCCCGGGGTGGGGGGCGTGGGTGACAGCCACCAGCTCTGCGG